GAGAGAGAGAGAAGGTGAGGGACGGAATGTGATTATTTGAAAACAACTCCAGAGTTTGAGATCGAAACTGACGGAGTGTTCACAGAAAAAAAGTAGTTTTGAAAGAGGATACAAAATTAAAATGGCCCAATTTCTTCTGTATCCCCCCCTTTCCCTTTATATTTGCAGACAGATAATAGAGTAGCAAGCACCCTCCCAGGGTTTGTGGCACATAAGAGAATTACTCGAAGGCTGATCTGGGCTAAAGTTGCACTTTTCCAATGCAGCCGTCTGATTGTGTTACTAGCGATCACCGTCTTCCTTTTTTCAACCTAGTTTCAGTTTTACTAATATCTTGAGATTGAGATTCTATCTAGATTCTTGCAGCGATTACACGATTTCTGTTTTAAGAAATCTAGTTAACCTCTATCTGTCTTTGTTTCATTCTTTTCTATTTGTTTCTTTGTTTCTTTCATTTTTCCTTCCTTCCTTCCTCCCTTTCTTTTTTTTCTTTATTTCATTCATTCTTTCTTTCTTTCAGTTTGTCTGTCTGTCTTTCCTTCTCCCTCCCCCAACCTCTTTTATTTAGTTATTTCTCCTTTACTATTCTTTTGTCGATCAGCCTCTCTTTCGTTATGAAAGACTCTAGGAGAAAAAAAGACCACACAAGAAGTTGAACAAGACAACCCTAAATAAATGAAGAAAGAAAGAAAGAAAGAAAGAAAGAAAGAAAGAAAAACGAACGAAGATTGGGAACTTTCAAATTTGTTCGACGCCCATGTCGTTTCAATTCTCTTCAGTTAACCGATTCTTCAAGCGATCGATAAATAAATGAATAGATAAATAATATATAAATAAATAAATATAAAATCGATCTCAGACAATGGTTCCTGATTTACGCACCTATATATACAAAATAGATCACTTAGGAGGCGGGCTGCCACGACCCTGCCTGCCACAGCCTTCCAGGACAAAACCGGTAACAATGAGTCGACATGCTCGGTAACATGGATTTCCCTTAGAGAGAATCGAACCTGTGAGCTTTGGTTGCAGCGGTTAAGAGCGTAACCGTTATATTAAAGGCATAATAAATAAATAAATAATTGAAAGTGATTGACAATCAAAGAAGAAATGTTAAAAATTCCCCTATAATACTACAAATATTGGATCAATAAACTGACAAAAAATGAACTTATTGACGGTTTTATATCTTAAGAAATGGGAGAAAAAAAAGGAACGAAAGAACGAAAGAAAGAAAGAAAGAAAGAAATAAAGAAAGAAAGAAAGAAAGAAAGAAAGAAGTAGGAAAGAAAGTAAACAGAAAAGACTGAGTTCTAACAATTATTCATAGAAAAATATCCAAATAAATAGAACCAAACATGGCAATGCTAAAAAGCAAAACATTTACATAACGTCGATTACCAATCCTACCCCGTTCCTTACAGCCGTCCTTGCAATTCTTTTTCTATCAAATCACTTGTCTCCTCTCCCTCCTCCTCCTCCCCCTCCTCCTGCTCCCCCTCCTACTTCTCCTCCTCTTTTCATTTATCCATCCAACCCCACCCTAAGCACCGATCTGACTACTCCTCCTCCTCCCCCTTCCTCCACATCCCTCTCCTCCTCCTCTTCTCCCCCTCCTTCTCCTCCTCCTCCTCCTCCTCCTTCTCCTCCTCCTATTCCCCCTTCTCCTCCTCCTTTCATCTATCCATCCCCCAGAGCCACCGATCTGACAACTAGCTCATCTTCTGCTGTTGCAAAGCAGGCGTTCCAAGTGGTCGATTGCCACGTGACCTACATGTCGGCCGTTGCTATGGTAATCGCGTCGCTTTGATTGCACAATATCCTGGGACGATAGCAAAATTGGAATTGACTGAGAAAAACTGAAGTGCTCAGCTGAGAGGTTGCGCAGGCCGGGCTAAAATTTTGAACGGAAACTTTGATGTATTTCCGCATATTATTATATAAAAGCATACGCGCGCGCATGCACACACACACATACACACACACA